TAATAGAGTGAGATTGATGGGCGGAATGGCATATTCCTGCTCCTGTTTTCTGTTCCTCAGGGGTCTGATGGACTAGACCCCTTCCCCTTGATGGAGAGCTTTGAACTAGTGCTTACTTCCTCACAATAAGGAAATGATTTTAGGGTGGACATGAGAATTTCTTTTTCCAGACAAAGAATTGTGGACCTTTGCAACCGTGTCCCCCAAAAAGTCATGGATGCTCAGTGATGAGTATGTTAAGCCTGAACTGGAAAGATTTTTTCATTATAAAGGAATGACAACATCCAGGAGTAGTATGATTGAGGAGGAGATAGGTTTTACAGCCAAGACAGGAACGAACAAATTAAGGCAAAGATATTTTGTGTGTTTTGAACATTTTTATTTAACACTGTTACTGGTTCACAGGTCTCTTATTAATATTTAGAATAGAACCTAGAACAGCACAGCACAGTACAGGCCCTTCGGCCCACGATGTTGTGCTGAACTTTTACCCTAAACCTAAAGGTCTATCTAACCTCCACCCCGACCTTACACTATCATCCATATGCCTATCTAATAGCCGCTTAAATGCCCCTAATGAGGCTGACTCCACTACCCGCTCCGGCAATGCATTCTACGACCCTACCATTCTCTGAGTAAAGAACCTACCTCTGACATCTCCCCTATATCTACCTCCACTCACTTTAAAACTATGCCCCCTCGTAATAGCTATCTCCACCCTAGGAAAAAGTCTCTGGCTGTCCACTCTATCTATAACTCTGATTATTTTATACACCTCTATCAAGTCATCTCTCATCCTTTGTCGATCTAAAGAGAAAAGCCCTAGCTCACTCAACCTTTCCTTGTAAGACCTTCCCTCTATTCCAGACAACATCCTGGTGAATCTCCTCTGCACCTTTTCCAACGCTTCCACATCTTTCTTGTAATGAGGCAACCAGAACTGGACACAATACTCCAGATGTGGCCGAACCAGGCTTTTGTATAGCTGGAGCATAAATTCACAGCTCTTGAACTCAATCCCTCGATTAATGAAAGCTAACACACCATATGCCTTCTTAACAACTCTATCCACCTGGGTGGCAGCTTTCAGGGAAAACTGTGCACATGAACCCCGAGATCCCTCTGCTCCTCCACCCTGCCAAGAATCTTTCCATTAACCCTGTATTCTGCTTTCAAGTTTGTCCTTCCAAAATGAATCACCTCACACTTTTCAGGGTTAAACTCCATCTGCCACTTCTTAGCCCAGCTCTGCATCCTGTCAATGTCCCTTTGTAACCTAGAACAGCCCTCCGCACTGTCCACAATGTGACCCACCTTCATATTGTCCGCGAACTTACTAATTCACCCTTCCACTCCTTCATCCAAATCAATTACAAAAATCACAAATAGAAGAGGACCCAGAACAGATCCTTGTGGTACATCACTCGTACCTGAGCACCATGTTGAATATTTTCCGTCCACTACCACCCTTTGTCTTCTAAGGGTCAGCCAATTCTGAATCCAATCTGCCACATTTCCCCCTATCCCATGCCTCCTTACCTTCTGCATGAGCCTACCATGGGGAACCTTATCAAACGTCTTACTTAAATCCATGTATACCACATCCACTGTTCTACCTTCATCCACATGTTTGGTCACCTCTTCAAAGAGTTCACTAAGGTTTGTGAGGCATGATCTACCCCTCACAAATCCATGCTGACTATCATGAATCAAACTGTGCCTTTCCAAGCGATCATAAATCCTATCTCTCAGAGCCCTTTCCAATAATTTGCCCACCACTGAAGTAAGACTAACTGGCCTGTAATTTCTGTGGTTATCCCTATTCCCATTTTTGAACAAGGGAATGACGTTTGCCTCTCTCCAATCTTCCGGCACTGTACCCTTGGACAGTGAGGATGAAAAAATCATTGCCAAAGGCCCTGCGATCTCTTCCCTCGCTTCCCATAGAATCCTTGGATAAATCCCATCAGGCCCGGGGGACTTACTTATTTTCAACTTCCTCAAAATTCCTAGCACATCTTCCTTACTAACATCGACCTCCTCTAACCTACCAGCCTGTTTCACACTGTCCTCCGCTCCAGCTAGGTCCCTCTCAGTTGTGAATACCAAAGAAAAGTATTCATTAAGGACCTCTCCTATCTCTTTAGGCTCCGTTCACAAATTCCCTTTCCAATCCTTGATCGGCCCTACCCTTTCTCTGGTCATTCTCTTATTCTTCACGTACGTGTAAAAAGCCTTGGAGTTTTCCTTGATCCTATCTGCCAAGGTTTTCTCATGCCCCCTTATAACTCTCCTAAGCCCTTTCTTCAGCTCCTTCCTGGATAACTTATATCCCTCTAGAGCCTTTTCAGTTCCTTGTTTCCTAAACCTTACATAAGCATCCTTCTTCCTCTTAACCAGTCGCTCGACCTCTCTTGAGAACCAAGGCTCCCTCACTCGACCGCATCTTCCCTGCCTGCTAGGGACAAACATATCGAGCACACGCAATATACATTCCTTGAACAATCTCCACATTTCTATAGTGCTCTCGCCTGACAGTATCTGTTCCCATTTTATGTTACCCAGTTCTGGCCTAACAGAATTGTAATTACCCTTCCCCCAATTATGAACCTTACCCTGCTGTATGTACTTATCCTTTTCCATGACTATTGTAAAAGTAACAGAGTTATGATCGCTGCCGCCAAAATGCTCTCCTACTAACAGGTCTAACAGCTGGCCCGGTTCATTACCAAGCACCAAATCCAAAGTGGCCTCTCCTTGTGTTGGTCTATCTACATGCTGTGTCAGGAATCCTTCCTGAACGCACTGGACAAAATCCGCTCCGTCTAAACTATTACAACTAAAATGTTTCCAATCAATATTTGGAAATTTGAAGTCACCCATGACTACAACCCTGTGACTTCTGCACCTTTCCAGTATCTGCCTTCCAATCTGCTCCTCCACTTCTCTGCAAGTATTAGGGGGTCTGTAAAAAACCCCTAACAAAGTGACTGCTTCTTTCTTGTTCCGGGCCTCAACCCAAACTGACTCTGTAGACATATCATTCTTGAACTGCCTTTCTGTAGCTGCTGTACTAGCCCTGACTAGCAATGCCACTCCCCCGCCTCTTTTACCACCCTCCCTATTTCTTTTAAAGCATCTAAATCCTGGAACTTCCAACAACCATTCCTGTCCCTGAGTTACCCAAGTTTCTGTAATGGCCACAACGTCGTAGTTCCAAGTACTGACCCATGCTCTAAGTTCATCCGCCTTATTTCTGATACTTCTAGCTTTGAAGTATGCACACCTCAAACCATCTCTGTGTCCACAATTACGCTCTATCAACCGCATTTCTTTATTAACAACCTTACTCCCTGTTGTGTCTGTTGGAAGGCTGAATACCTCATCCTCTGAATTATAAATCCGGTTCCCCACCCCCTGCCAATTGAGTTTAAACCATCCCGTATAGCTCGAGCAAACCACCCTCCCAGGATATTTGTGCCCTTCCGGTTCAGGTGCAACCCGTCCTTACTGTACAGGTCCCACCTTCCCCAGAATGTGCTCCAGTTATCCACATAATGGAAGCCCTCCCTCCTACACCAGCCCTGTAGCTACGTGTTTAGTTGCACTCTCTCCCTATTTCTTACCTCATTATCATGTGGCACTGGTAGTAATCCAGAGATAACTACCCTGTTTGTCCTGGACTTCAGCTTCCAACCTAACTCTCTGTATTCTTTTTTTCACATTCTCTGTCCTTTTTCTACCTATGTCATTGGTACCGATGTGTACCATGACTGCTGGTTGCTCACCGTCCCCCTTAAGGATCTTGAAGACACGATCTGAGACATCGCGGACCCTGGCACCCGGGAGGCAACATATCATCTGTTCATCTTGTTCGCTTCCACAGAACCGCCTGTCTGTGCCTCTTACTATTGAATCCCCCACTACAATTGCTCTCCTATTCTCCCCACTTCCCTTCTGTGCCACAGGGCCAGGCTCAGTGCCAGGGACCTGTCTGCTATGGCCTTCGCCTGGTAGGTTGTCCCCCCCAACAGTATCCAAAACGGTGTACTTATTATTGAGGGGAACCACCACAGGGGATCCCTGCACTGTCTGCCTATTCCCTTTCCCCTTCCTGACAGTCACCCAGCTACCTTTTTCCCGTACCTTGGGTGTGACCACCTCCCTGTAACTCCTCTCTATCACCCCCTCAGCCTCCCGAATGATCCGGAGTTCATCCAGCTCCAGATCCCTAATATGGTTTCTGAGGAGCTGGAGTTGGGTGCACTTCTCGCAGGTGAAGTCAGAGGGGACACCAGCAGTGACCCTTACCTCCCACATCCTGCAAGAGGAGCATGCAACTGCCCTAGCTTCCATTCCCTCTACTCTAGATTTCCAGAAGAATAAAAAAAAGTCTTATCTTATCGACCCTCCACACAGTAATTTTTTTGGTTAGAGGAAGATGGGTGGGAGACGCTACACGTGTAGTGTTTCGGGTTTAGTCAATGCCCGAAAATATCAATTTCTAATATTTCTAATGAATACCTAGTGCTTTCTGTTTGACTTAGGAGAAGCATGCTGGTTTTGAGTATTTCAGTCAAATCTCTTACCCCCTGACCTGTGGTCCTCAGCTGATTCCTTATTCCCCAACCCCAGCACAGTCAGTCCCTACAGCCTCCTCAGCATAAGCTCTTCTGGTCTTCATGTCTTTGATATTTGGCAAAGAACAGCATAGCTCATGAGTCGAATTGTGTTGTATTGAATTCAAAGTTGCAGAAGCTGCTAATGGCGTAGTTTACACAAGTGACCAGTGTAAGAGAGTACTGGTCTGGATTTAGTGTGTACTCTGATGGATGTGGGATGGCAGGTTGTAATTAGGAAGGGGACTGAGATACCAGAGCATAGGTAGCTGTTCTGTAGCACAGCCTGACCATGGTGTTAACAGATGAAGTGCTGCTCAGACTGGAATGATTGGTTGAGTTGATGCTGGTTAGTTGATGCTTACTGTTTTTCTTTTTCAGATGTATCGCCTCACTCTGCGGGCTAGTAAAGAATCTGTATCAAAGACACTGTGTGAACTGCTGTCAGAACAGTTTTAATTACCTGAGCACTTCAACCCATTGGGCCAATATGAGGACTTGGACTGTTATGCTAATACTTAACAGAATTTATGTGGAAAGTAGTTATTTTCCTTTAGTATTAATGATGTTTTCTCCTGCTGTACCTTCTTTTATTTCTAGGACAGAAAATGAGGGGGAAAAAAAAAGCTTTCTTAAAAGAATTTAATGAATGTTCACTTTTCCAGCTTACCTCTACTTCATTGTTACTGAGGTTGCTTTGGTTAAAGTGGAAAGGGGTCTCGACTGAATACAGCTCTGTTCCCAGAATCTATGTTCTGTTCAAACCTAGTGAGTGACCCTGTTTCACAATCTGCTGTGCCTTTGGTGCCAAGCAAATATTTCATGATACATGTGAACTTTCAGTCCCAGTAAAACAAACTGTTTATTTACAGGAGCATAGTCCAGTCCAGATATTGAGACTTGGTGGAGGAGAGAGGTAAGATGTGTTAAATTAGAAGAAGCTGTAAGTAGTTTTGAGAATTCTGAGAAATGTTTCATCCATCTTCAAAGTCCTGCAGCCCAATGAACTGTCCAGCATCTAGCCTGTGCTGGTAAATGTAATCCATGGACTTGTTGATCCATGTTGCAGACTTCTAATTCCCATCAACCCAACCTCAGTTACTCCATTAATTTAGCATCAAATCGAGCCTAGAGATAAAAGTACGGCATGCCAGGTCAACTCACAATGAATCTTCAAACTTCACGCTGCAGTTAACAGGAATAACGGAGTGAATCTGTTCCAAACAGTTGGAGCACTCTGCAGTCTAGGTGCTAAAGCCAGGAAGGATCCACTGACTGATGTGGGACAACAGGCTGTAGTTAGGAAGGGGATTGAGATCCCAGAGCACAAAGGGCTGAGGAGAACTAACTTGAGGTAATTAAAATTCTGAAGGGTTTTGATGGTGACTGTGAACAGTGATCTCGCCTGATTGAGATAACAAGAACTTTTCAAAGGGAAGTGGTGAGGCTAAGTTTCTTCCTGAAATGAGTTTTGAAGAGCGTGGAATTTATTTGTTGTGGCGTAGCAAAGGAAAAGGCGTATCTTTTAGGATAAAAATGGATAAGTATGTGAAACAACAGAAGATGAGAGTTCAAAGGGAAAAGTATGGTGATGGTTGGGAGGGGGTTAGTTTTGGATTTGGCATTGCCAATAAGTGCTGAGTTTGTCAGTAATGTCACTGAAGTAGGGGAAATGCGTACTGTAGTGAAGCACTGACATGACAGGATGACAATTGTTCAATTCCAGTGACAAATGCCAACACAATAGATCAGTAGAAAATAGTGTGCTCAGGGCATATTGGAGCTGTGTTTATCATTTCCAAATTCTAGTTTGTTAAACACATGGAAAGAAGTGGCATTTTTCTGTTTTGTATATTGTCCCATTGCATTTGCCGCATTTTGACAGGTTTACATATTTACAACTCTGTAGAAACTCTGCATTACCAAGATGCTTAACTGTTGTTACACTTGCTTCAGAAATAATACTTTGTGTCAGAATTATTGTGTGTCAGATGTCAGATTTCAAATGGATCTGCACTTTCCTCTTGTCCAGGCTCTATGTGAGGAGGGAAAACAACTCTTGCAGCAAGTAGCTGCAATTTGAATAGCTTTTACTTAAAAGGCAAATGAACTTGTAACCTGAATGTTTTGTTGTAATATTGTGGTTTAAATAAACTGAACTTTAACAAACATGAACTCTTGACACTTGAAATCTTTTGATCACAGATTGTAGGGATTGTCCAGTTTGAAATTTCATATGATTCCATAATTCATTTTACCAAACCAAACACCAGTGGTTTGAGCAGAAATGGTTTCCCAGTTTCCATGTTTTTGTCTCCACAGATGCTGCCGGACCTGTTGTATTTCTCCAGCATTTTCTGTGTTTGTTCCATAGTTTGAAAGTCTGGTTTCTCTGTTAATAAAGTGATATCAATCTGGACACACCTGAAGAATGCATTGTGGAGAATATTGCACACAGGTATATGAAGGAACTGATTACTTCATGATAAAATTGTGCACTAGTATTTTCCAGTTCACTCCATTCTGCCTGTTTTACAGAGGCTAGGGCATGATGTTGAACAGGAAGATTAGGAAAGCAATGGTTTATTACTAGAATGAAATGTTGATAAGTTCCCAGATCTGATCCTAGGCTTTTAAAAGAAGAGTCAACTGAGATAGTGGATGTCTCGGTTTTAATTTTCCAAAATTCCCTGTATTCCTTAAAGCTGCAACTGATTAGGAACTAGCCAAAAAGACACTTTCATTCAAAGGGCAGGGAACTATAGAACCAGCTTGCATCTATTAGAGGGCAAGTGCAGGAATTCATTATTAGAGAAAGGCACTCAAGAAAATCTTAATCACTATTCAGGTAGAGTCAGAGATAGTAGGAACTGCAGATGCTGGAGAATCTGAGATAACAAGGTGTAGAGCTGGACAAACACAGCAGGGCAAGCAGCATCAGAGGAGCAGGAAGGCTGACATTTCGGGCCTAGACCCTTCTTCAGAAATGTGTCTGAAGAATTCTGACCCTTCAGTCCAACTCGTCTGCATCAACCAGATATCCTAAATTGATCTAGTTCGCTTTGCTAGCATTGGCCCATATCCCTCTAAACCCTTTTTATTCATTTACCCCACCAGATTCTTTTTAAATGTTGTAATTGTATCTGCCTCCACCACCTCTTTGGCAGCTCATTCCATACATGCACCAAAGTGTGCATGAAAACATTGCCCCTCAGGTCCATTTTAAATCTTTCTGAAGAAGGGTCTAGGCCCGAAACGTCAGCCTTCCTGCTCCTCTGATGCTGCTTGGCCTGCTGTATTCGTCCAGCTCTACACCTTGTTATCTCAGGTAGAGTCAGCATGGTTTTGTGAAAGGGAAACTGTGCTCGGCGAATTTGAGTTGTTTGGCGGAAATACAGCAATGTGGATAAAAGAGAATTTGAAGATTCCTATGTGTTTGGATTTCAGAGGGAATTTGACAAGGTGTCACATCAAAGCTTACTAATCGAAAGAAGACCTCATGGTGTCAAGGTAATATATTAATATAAAGGATTGGTTCGCTCACAGGAAACAGTAAGCAGAAATTAGTGATTACAGGTTGGCAAGATGTAACAAGTGGAGTGCGACAGGAATCAGTGCAGGTCTTCAACCATTTACTATTCATATCAATAACTTGGAGGTTGCTAACCTTTCTAATGACACAAGGCCAGGTAGGAATGTAAACTGTAAAGAGAATAATGGGCTGCAAAGACCCTTCAGTCCAACTCGTCCGCACCAACCAGATATCCTAAACTGATCTAGTTCTCTTTGCTAGCATTGGCCCATATCCCTCTAAACCCTTTTTATTCATTTACCCAACCAGATTCCTTTTAAATGTTGTAATTGTATCTGCCTCCACCACCACCTTTGGCAGCTCATTCCATACATGCACCAAAGTGTGCATGAAAACATTGCCCCTCAGGTCCACTTTAAATCTTTCCCCTCTCACTTTAAACCTATGCCTTCTAGTTTTGGCCTCCTGTACCCTGGGAAAAAGACTTTGGCTATTCATCCTATCCATGCCTCTCATGATTTTATAAATTCCTATAAGGTCACCCCTCAGATGCCGACACTCCAGGGAAGCATAACCCAGCCTATTCAGCCTCTTCCTACAGCTCAAATCCTCCAGTCCCAGCAACATCCTTGTAAACCTTTTCTGAACTCTTTCACATTTAACATCTTTCCGAAAGCAGGGAGATGAGAATTGAACTCAGTATTCTAAAGTTGCCCTAACCAATGTCCTGTATAGCTGCAACATGATGGCCCAACTCCTATACTCAAGGCACTGACTAATGAAGGCAAGCGTGTCAAATGCCTTCTTCACCATGTTGCCTCCCTGCGACTCCACTTTCAAGAAACTATACACCTACCTGCACCCGTACGTCTCTTTGTTTGACAACACTCCTAGGGACCTACCATTAATGGTATAAGTGCTGTCTTGGTTTGCCTTACCAAAATGCAACACCTCACATTTATCTAAGTTAAACTCCATCTGCCATTCCTCTCCCATTGGCCCATCTGATCATGATCCCGTTGTACTTTGAGATAAGCTTCTTCACTGTCCAATACAGCACTAATTTTGGTGTCGTCTGTAAAATTACTAACCATTTCCATACATAATGAAAATCAGTGGACTCAGCATCAATCCTTCCAAGACACTCCTGGTCACAGGCCTCCAGTCTGACAAATAACCCCCTACCGCCACACTCTGTCTCCCATCTTTGAGCCAATTTTGTATCCAATTGGCTAGCTCCCCCTGGATTCCATGTAATCTAAATTTGCTAACTGGTCTACTATGCAAATTACGGTCACTGGCCTCAAAGTGCACCCCCACTGACACCCCTTTATTTCCCAAGAGAAGGTCAAGTTTTTCTTCTTCTCTAGTAGGTACATCCACATATTGCATAAGACATGGAGTAATAGAATCATACAGAAGGGAAACAGACCCTTCAGTCCAACTCATCCATGCTGACCAATTTTCCCAAAGTGCGTAGTCCCATTTGGCTGCATTTGGTCCATGTCCCTCTAAACCTTTCCCATTCATGTACTTGTCCAAACGTCTCAAATGTTGTAACTATATCTACATCTACCACTTCCTCTGGCAGTTCATTGAAAATGTTGCCCCTCAGGTCCCTTTTAAATCTTATCCCTGTCACCTTAGACATATGCCCTTGAGTTTTGAACTCCTAGGGAAAAGATATTTGCAATTCATCTTATCTATGCCCATGATTTTGTACGGTCACCCCTAAACCTCATGTGTTTCAGGGAAGAAGTCCCAGTCCAATAGTCAATGGGAAATTGAGAAACAAATTTGTAAGCAGATCTCAGTTATCTATAGGAATGAATAGAGTGGTTATGACTGGGGTTTTTAACTTTCCAAATATAGACTGGATCTGCCATAGTGTTAAGGGCTTGGACGCAGAGGAATTTGTTAAGTGTGTACAAAAACATTTTCTGATTTAGTACGTGGATGTACCTATTAGAGAAGGAGCAAAACCTGACCTACAGTTGGGAAATAAGGCAGGGCAGATGACTGAGGTGTCAGTGGGAGAGCTGTTTGGGGCCAGTGACCATAATTCTATTAGTTTTAAAACAGTGATGGAAAGGGATAGACTGGATCTAAAAGTTAAAGTTCTAAATTGGAGGAAGGCCAATCTTGACGGTTGTCTGTAAGAACTTCCAAAAGTTCATTG